TATGCTTGTGTTTAGCATATTCCTTAAAAGTGTAACTAAAAATATGTTTATTAACATAGTATTTCTACTATACTTTTTAGAAATATACTAATAGTGTGCTTGTGTTTAGCATATTCCTTAAAAGTGTAACTAAGCATATATTTATTACCAAAGTATTTCTAGTATACTTTTTATAAATACATTAAAAGTATGCTTCTGTTTAGCATATTTCTTAGAAGTATAACTAAGCATATATTTAATACAAAAGTACTTCTAGTATACTTTTTAGAAATATATTAAAATGCAATATATTTCAATATATTTTTATTGCACTTCAAATAAGCATGTTGGGAATACAAATGTATTATAAACATACTACTTGAATTTCAAGTATATTTTTAATACATTTAATACTACGTCTTTTTCACCTGGGCCAGTATCTCAAAATATGAGAATATTTACATTTGAGTTTCATTAAAACTCGCTGATTCTTGAGATAAGGGACAAAACATGTCCTACACAAAAAAGCCCTCTTTATATTAAAAATGAAGAAATTCATCAAAATAAATATATGTAAAAAGTTACCTCTAACGGAAATCTGTATACTCAGGACATTCATTGCTTTTATTTTATTTATTTTTAAATACATGCTCTATACTTGGAAAATACATGTAATTTAACCTGTCCTCAGCATGAAGTACTGCTAAAAGGAGAAAAGCAAACCACTGGAAGGATTATTGTATTAAATTAAATATTAGTTAAAAAATTAATTGTCTTAATTTGTTGTCTTGTCAATCAATTGTTGTAATCTCAGTTGGACCTTTGTGAACTTCATCAGTTTGTCAACTCCATCAGTATTTAACACTGTATTTAACACAGAGGTTTCTGTTAATTTCAACAACAAAAAATATTTAATTCTTCTTTCAATTTATTGTTTTAAAATAGTAAAACATGAAATGAACTACATGACATTGTCTCATTTACCTAGGAACATAGGTTATATGTATTTAGCAGTAAAAAGGAGGGTAGAGAATAAAAAAAAAACAGGAATTGGATTGTTCATTATAGTGTGAAAACGGGGAAAAAATGTAGATAATGTGTTTGATTACTTAGCTCATTTACTGAACACCAACATTACATAATTGAAGACTGTACACTGTTACTGGATGGATCAAATTAAAATAGCATGCTTTTTAATGTGTCTGATGCAGTTGACAAAAATTAAGTTATGAAGTAAATGTACATTTTCAGAAAAGCCTGTTCCCTTACATGGTTCATTAGATGCAACATTTGTCTACAAATATATACATTTATAATAATGTATCATTAAATAATAAAAACTAACATTTAAAACATGTTTTGTCCCTTCTCAAGAATCAAACATTAAAAAAAAAAAAAAAAAACTGTACTTGCAGATATTATATTAATGTACAACCCGAATTCCGGAAATGTTGGGACATTTTTTTAAATTTGAACAAAATGAAAACTAAAAGAATTTCAAATCACATGAGCCAATATTTTATTCACAATAGAACATAGATAACATAACAAATGTTTAAACGGAGAAATTTTAAAATTTTATGCACAAAATGAGCCCATTTCAAAATTTGATGCCTGCTACAGGTCTCAAATTAGTTGGGACGGGGGCATGTTTACCATGGTGTAGCATCAGTTTGAAGACGTCTGGGCATCGAGGTTATGAATTTCTGGAGTTTTGGTGTTGGAATTTGGTCCCATTCTTGCCTGATATAGGTTTCCAGCTGCTGAAGAGTTTGTGGTCGATGCTGGTATAGTGCTGGTCCATGCTGGTTAGTGTTGGTATAGTGCTGGTTCAGGCTGGTTTATGATGGTATAGTGCTGGTGTATGCTGGTTAGTGTTGGTATAGTGCTGGTCCAGGCTGGTTAGTGCTGGTTCAGGCTGGTTGATGCTGGTATAGTGCTGGTTTAGGCTGGTTTATGATGGTATAGTGCTGGTGTATGCTTGTTAGTGCTGGTCCAGGCTGGTTAGTGCTGGTATAGTGCTGGTGTATGCTTGTTAGTGCTGGTTCAGGCTGGTTAACCAGCATGGATTCCAAGCTGGTCCAGGCTGGTTTATGCTGGTTAGAGCTGGTATCCTGCTGGTCCAGGCTGGTTTATGCTGATATAGTGCTGGTTTATGCTGGTATAGTGCTGGTTAGTGCTGGTCCAGGCTGGTTAGTGCTGGTATAGTGCTGGTGTATGCTTGTTAGTGCTGGTCCAGGCTGGTTAGTGCTGGTGTATGCTTGTTAGTGCTGGTTCAGGCTGGTTTATGCTGGTATAGTGCTGGTTAGTGCTGGTCCAGGCTGGTTTATGCTGGTATAGTGCTGGTGTATGCTTGTTAGTGCTGATACAGGCTGGTTTATGCTGGTATATTGTTGGTCTAGCTGGTGGACCAGCATATCCTGGTTCACCAGCATGGGCTTTGTAGGGTCATTGATTTAGACATCATCTAAAAGCTGAAATAAGCTTTCCATTGATGTATGATTTGTTAGGATAGGACAATATTTGGCTGAGATACAACTATTTGAAAATCTGGAATCTAAGGGTGAAAATATATATATATATATTGAGAAAATCGCCTTTAAAATTGTCCAAATGAAGTTCTTAGCAATGCATATTACTAATCAAAAATTAAGTTATAATATATTTACAGTAGGAAATTTACAAAATATCTTCATGGAACATGATCTTTACTTAATATCCTAATGATTTTTGGCATAAAAGGAAAATTGATCATCTTCATAGATCATGATCTTTACTTAATATCCTAATGGTTTTTGGCATAAAAGAAAAATTGATAATTTTGACCCATACAATGTATTGTTGGCAATTGCTTCAAATATACTCGTGCTACTTATGACTGGTTTTGTGGTCCAGGGTCACATATAAGGTTAAAACATATGATTTACTGAATTATATGACAACTTTGTAATTTCTTTTGCTCCCTCTGCTGAAAGTAGAACTGAAAATTTTAATTGCTTAAGTTATGATTACATTATTAATCAATGTCACTGGTAAACTGGTCAAATATTTTAAAGCATCAAAGGAAATGTCTCCTGTTTCATAAGATCTGTACGTAAATCAGTGTAAATCAGTTTAAAAGAGCTTGTGTACGTTGGATAACAGGTTATAAGAAGAGCTCTTTCAATCGGACAGTTAAAAACAACTTGATAATGAATGTTAAAAAAATGAAAGTTGTTGTTTTTAAAGACATTTATACTTATCTGGGAAGTCACATATGTCCAAGTCCAGCTGTCAGTCACTGATTTCAAAAAGTGCACATAGTTTCAAGTGAAGTCAACTTTATTTATATAGTGCTTTATACAATACAGATTTTGTTAAAGCTTTACGGTGTTAAACAGGAAAATAATGTTTCAATTCTGCTGTAAAGCAGCTCTAAAAAGAGGACAATACTAAACAGGTTTGCAGTTAAAGTCAGTTGATTGTTGATTTACTGATGTCTTCGTCCAGTTCAGTTTTCTCCAAAACGATTCTGTGCAAGTCGACAATATTGCCAAATATTAAGTGTCCCCAACTAAATTACCTGGTGACCTCCAGTCATTTGTAATAATTGCGGAGGTTGTCTGTGATCTTAATCCCGTGCGAATCGGCCATGTCTGTAATTTGTCAGATGTGGGGGGGTAATTAAAAAAAAACACAAGGTCCCCAGATAATACTAATCCCGTGCGAATAGGGCTTAAGGAAGCCAAAAGTGACAGCGGCAAGGAACCCAAACTGCATCGGTGACAGAAATGGAGAAAAAAAACCTTGAGATAAACCAGGCTCAGTTCTCCTCTGGCCAGACGAATCCAGCATGGTGTGTTTAATTCAAGGCTGCAACACAGGTCAGACTGTGGACTGGTATCATTCAGAATATTCTTCCAGTTCCTTCTCCTTGATGATGGGGATACATACTGCCAGCGTTTGGTGGGGCTGAAGCTGGCTACAGGGTCTGTTCAGAGGACTCGTCTGGTTCTCGTGGTCTTTGTAGAGGATTTGTGCCGATTGGTGTCTAGTTGATGAGGTCTTCGCAGGGGATCTGTCTCTAGGGTCATCTAGTTGTCATGGTCTCTGCTGACTTTTAGGGCTATTCACAATATAGCACGGCCTTTTGACCTTATTGCTTACATATTCCACTGTCTTATATGTAGGGCTGTACACGTATTTCTGTTTTGTTATGCTCCAGAGACTCCTGTGTAAAATGCACTGAGAAATTGTACTTAAGCTGAAGTATAGATACAATGTCAAAAAATATTACTCAATTAAAAGTGCCCAGCCAAAAAATTCTTGAGTGAAAATAAAAGGTATCCACGTTTTATTATTCTTGAGTATTTAAATGTAAACACTTTTCTTAACTTTTAATTGACTTATAAAAACAAGAGACAGTAGAGATGTTCTCATTTCAGTGTGTTTAATGCAAAAACTTAAAAATCATTCTTTTCTCATTATTTTGACTATGGAAGAGAAAACACAGCAGATGTTAAAACAATGTCCTGAAACCTGTTTCTTGATTATTTTTTAGCTAAAATTAACAGCAGATGATTTTACAGTGGTTTAGCATTTGAATATATGATGATATTTGGACTAATAATCAAGATCCATGACCCAAGTTCATCCTTCTAGAGTGATGGTTCTTATTTTAAAAACACATTACTATAGTTCAAAGTCTATGTCTGAGGGAACAATTTCTAAAGAAAAAAGGAACAATTTCTGAAGAAAGTCATGCAGCAGTGCTACAAAAAAAAAAATCATATATATATATATATTATTTCTTGTATTTTTTTGGCAAGTACATGTTTTTTTTTTTTTACTGATTATTTTGTTGTATTGACCAAAAATAGTAAATTACCTTTTTATGGTGATTTTATGCTGAATGCTGATTGTTTTGATGTTGCAATATTGTATTTTCATCAAACAAAGACTGGATTAAGTAACCTGACATTTCAGCTTAACCTGTAAACTCATTGCATAGCTGTTATGTTTGTTCTCAGGGTGTGTCTTATTTACATGGCATTGATTAGAAAACCACTAAACAGTGAGAAATGTTTGTCATCCCAGATCCTTGTGTCCTTCCGGAGCACAATATAGACCTGCTCCCCTTTGTCTAACAGCAGCGTTACACCGTTGCCTCCATTCTCTGTGTAACAGCTACTCTTGTGATGTTGTGTTATAGCTACTTGATTTCCATTTCTATACAAGGCCAACTGTGTCGGCTGATCAGCTTGACAATGGTAGAAGAAGCTGAAATAGTATACTCCCCGGACCGGTGCTGTGAAAATCCCTGTTAAAGAGTGAGACAATTCTTCAGTTAACAGTTGTACACATGAGTCATGGAAGTGTTTTTTCAGAAATATAAAATGTGTGGATTAACAATACCTGTGACCTGGTTGTAGGCACCACCAACATTCGTGATGGCATTCTTGTAAACCAGTGTTACATCTGTGTTAAATGGTCCAAAGAAACCAACTCCTACTGAAGCTGAAAATGCCACCTTTTGTCTGTCTGAAGAGAATATATACTTTATTAAAATGTTGAAAATTGGCTCAGTAGCAACACAAACAACTGTTAAATAACACTCCTACACTATAAAAAGTTGAAGTTGTAAATAAAACAAAAATTCTCTTCTGTATTTCTCTTCTGTGAAACACTTTATAAACACTTCTTTAAAAGGTGCTATAAATAAAGCCTTACTTACTAAAAAAATATTTGGAGTACATTTTTCAAGAAAATATCATTTCAGTCTTTTACTCCAAATTTTCATGTTTAAGTCAATGTGTTACTTGCCATTTTTTGTAATTCTTAATGAGATTTACTAGCAATTTCTAAATAAAAATTGTACACAATTTTGTATACAATATTAAAGCATAATGGTCTTAAATAAAAATGAGTCTCACCTCTGTTTTCCATTTGGATTTTCTCAATCTCAGCTTCACTCTTAGCAAGTCTGGACATCTGCTCTTGCACAGTGTTTTCAAGAGCTTTGAGTCGTGTCTCTGTGGCTTGTAATTTCTCCTCTGATGCTCCAAGCTCCTTCAGCAGGTCTGTGCATAGTTTTTTGAAAGGACAGGTCAGCTGTTGAGCTTCATTTTGAAGAAAAGTGTATTCTTTACTAGTCATTTCAGAGGCGACCAGTTCTGTTATGGTGAAGATCAAGACTGTAAGACTTTTGTTCAGAAGAAGAACAACTATTGTTACTCTCACTCTTAATGCTTTAGATTAAGCGTGTCAGAGATTACTGTGAGGTATGTTTTTATCTGAAGTTATCGTTATCTTCAGTCACTGACACGTGATGCATAGCCAATGACAGGCAGCATACAGTACATTTATATGACTGTTTCTCAGACAGGATTGTTTCATTATCTTTGTGCTTAATGTTTTACAAAATGTTCATAAATCTAATACTGACAGACTATAGATGTGTACAATCGCATTGGCAGCTTTGACCTGAACAAAGCACTAAACTTTGTATTTAACAGTACAAACTAGTTCTTTCCATTATGTTTGCAACAAGTTTTTGTTTTTTTTTCTAGATTTCACAGTGCACATACTCTTCTATTAACCCTTGTATGGTGTTCAGGTCTGTGGGACCCGTTTTCACTTTTTATCAAAATAAAAATTATACTATTAACTATTTTTTTCAAATTCAGACTCATTGGCCTTGGCTCATTTTCTGTGAACATTTATCAGAACAAATGTTCAATGACCACACACTGTACACCCCCCCCTTATATTACATACAGATTGTTTGTTAGACCTGGGGCTAATAAAAGACTCGAAATTTTAGGTCCTGTGTACCTTCACTCTGTACTGATGTTGTCTGGGTCTGCTATTAGTATGTGTATGTGTGTGCATGTATGTGTGTGTGTGTGTGTGAGAGAGAGAGAGAGAGGTAAGAGTGTCCCTGCTGAAAAATCCAGCATAAACCAGCATGTATTCCAAGCTGGTCCATGCTGGTTAGTGCCGGTATAGTGCTGGTTAGTGCTGGTACAGGCTGGTTTATGATGGAATTTTGCTGGTCCATGCTGGTTAGTGCCGGTATAGTGCTGGTGTATGCTTGTTAATGTTGATATAGTGCTGGTACAGGCTGGTTTATGCTGGTATAATGCTGGTGTATACTTGTTAGTGTTGGTATAGTGCTGGTACAGGCTGGTTTATGCTGGTATAATGCTGGTGTATACTTGTTAGTGTTGGTATAGTGCTGGTACAGGCTGGTTGATGCTAGTATAATGCTGGTGTATGCTTGTTAGTGTTGGTATAGTGCTGGTACAGGCTGGTTGATGCTAGTATAATGCTGATGTATGCTTGTTAGTGTTGATATAGTGCTGGTACAGGCTGGTTGATGCTGGTATAATGCTGGTTCAGGCTGGTGGACCAGCATATCCTGGTTCACCAGCATGGGCTTTGTAGGGTTGAGTGTCAGTTGGACAGCTGTCTGTATGCAATTAGTGTTTTGGGGACAAACATAGTTTTTGCTTGCATATTTCCCTATTTAACACATTAACCCTTAAATGCATACCTCGGGTCTTTAGCGACCCGGGACATCATTCTCTACCCTCTCCCTCCTTCATATTTTTAAGTTAGACATCAACTTTCTTAGTATTCCTCAATCTATTAATTATAAACAATATAACAAGAAAAAAATAGTAAATTATAAAAGAATTCCAGTTTTCTGATTCATTTTTTGTAAAAAGTGTATAGGGTCACTAGAGACCCGAGGTATGTAAATGTGTAAGTATTTTTTCCTGTGCAACTATATTTACATATCTGATGACTCAATATGTGCAATGCATCTTTTTTCCTCAAGGTGTTTGATACACAATGATGACGTGACGTTTCAGTCATAATAACTCTTAATAACCTCAGGCATAAAACAAACGAATATCATCAGCAAAAATTGAACTGGTTTGAATGGCTTTACTGCAGAGCAATTACTATACGCAATGAAATATAAATGTCACTGTCATTTGATACTGGATGTGGTGAATAAGCTGCCAGTGATCAAAATATTGAATATGAAGTCATTGAAAACGATAGTTTTGAGAATATGGCTGAGATCGTGAATATGAGGCAGATGCTGAATGTACTGTGGAAGTGCGTTCTGACGATGACAGCGATTGTAAAATCATCTGCTCAAATTGAACCCTTTTAAGTTTCAAAATGAAACGAAATATGCTTTATTTTATTCTTCTGTAATTGTTCTTAAAATATCAAGAGAGTTTTTTGCTATTGCAGCAGTTAGAGATCCATCCGTGCTGGATATATAGGTCCGGGTCGCTAAAGACCCGAATATGTAATAATTATTGGCGAAACATTCATGCATTTAAGGGTTAATGATGTAAAGGAAAAACAATATGTGACCCTGGACCACAAAACCAGTCATAAGGATCAGTTTTTTGAAATTGAGATTTAGACATCATCTAAAAGCTGAAATAAGCTTTCCATTGATGTATGGTTTGTTAGGATAGGGCAATGTTTGGCTGAGATACAACTACTTGAAAATCTGGAATCTGAGGGTGCAAAAAGAAAAAAATCCAAATACGGAGAAAATCACCTTTAAAATTGTCCAAATGAAGTTCTTAGCAATGCATATTGCTAATCAAAAATTAAGTTTTGATATATTTATGGTAGGAAATTTACAAAATATCTTCATAGATCATGATCTGTACTTAATATCCTAATGATTTTTGGCATAAAAGAAAAATTGATCATTTTGACCCATACAATGTATTGTTAGCTATTGCTGCAAATATACCCGTGCTACTTAAACGAGTGGTTTTGTGGTCCAGGGTCACATATAAGATTAAAACATATGATTTATTGAATTATATGATAACTTTGTAATTTCTTTTGCTCCCTCTGCTGAAAGTAGAACTGAACATTTTAATTGCTTAAGTTATGATTACCTTATTAATCAATGTCACTGGTAAACTGGTAAAATATTTTAAAGCATCAAAGGAAATGTCTCCTGTTTTCGCAAGCTCCCATCGAGAGGCCAAAGGTGCAGAGCCCACAGCTCGGGCTGGGGGTGCCATATCGTTCCGTTCGCCTGAGAGAGGAGGTCTCGTCTTAGGGGAATGGGCCACGGGGCTGCCGAGAGCATTCCTCCAGAGCGGGGCCACCAACAGCACCTTGCGTCTCTGTTCCCAGACTCGCCTGATCACCTGTGGGATCAGAGCGATCGGGGGAAAAGCGTAAAGGAGGAGGTTGGGCCAGTCGTGGGCCAACGCGTCCCTGTCCTTTGAAAAGTAAGTTGGGCAATGAGAGTTGTCTTCTGAGGCTTCTTTTGCTCCCTCTGCTGAAAGTAGAACTGAACATTTTAATTGCTTAAGTTATGATTACCTTATTAATCAATGTCACTGGTAAACTGGTAAAATATTTTAAAGCATCAAAGGAAATGTCTCCTGTTTCATAAGATCTGTACGTAAATCAGTGTAAATCAGTTTAAAAGAGCTTGTGTATATTGGATAACAGGGGTTATAAGAAGAGCTCTTTCAATGGGACAGTTAAAAATGTACTCTGTTACTAACGTAACCTCGGTTCCCTGAGATACAGAACGAGTACTGCGTCTGTTTAAGACGCTTTGGGAAAACTCCTTTTTCTCCGATGACTAAAGCCTTTCAATAATGCAGTGTAACTGCATGGCCATTGGTTCGTGCATGAATAAAAAACGAACCAATGGCTCGACAGCAGAGCTGCACGAGCCTATGGCGGTAAAGCCCGCCAGAATGGGCGGGTTCCTCTGGCTATATAAGCGGCACATCGCCATAGGATCCCCGTTTGAGGGTGGAGCGTCCACTCCTCCGAGGGGAAATTGCTCCGAGACAGCATATCTGCTCCTTGGTTCAGCCTGCCCGGTATATGCGCTGCTCTCAGCGAGAGCAAGTTGAGCTGAGCCCATTCGAAGAGGTGCTCCACTAGTGTGAAGAGGTGCTTCGAGGAGAGACCGCCCTGGCGATTTATATAGGACACTACCGTCATGCTGTCCGAGTGGACTAAGATGTGGTGTCCCCTTAGGTCTGGCAGACGGTTCCCTGAGATACAGAACGAGTACTGCGTCTGTTTAAGACGCTTTGGGAAAACTCCTTTTTCTCCGATGACTAAAGCCTTTCAATAATGCAGTGTAACTGCATGGCCATTGGTTCGTGCATGAATAAAAAACGAACCAATGGCTCGACAGCAGAGCTGCACGAGCCTATGGCGGTAAAGCCCGCCAGAATGGGCAGGGTCATCTGGCTATATAAGGATCCTCAGATTATTCTCCTTCAGCGACGACTACTAGTTCTTCGCTCTACGAGACTACAAAGCCTTCGCCGTGATCAAGCCTCACAGCGGATCGAGAGACCCCTTCCTGCTCGGCTATTCTCACCGCTTCATGCTGCCCTCGCGCCTCCAGCAGCGACGGTCTCCGGAAAGCTGGCTCGCCATCGCACAGCACTCCCCAATCCGTGTTGGAGGCATCTGTCGAGGCTACCTTCCTTCTGCAGACCATTCCCAGGGGCACATCCCATTCCATCCAACGAGGATCTTTCCAAGGGGCCAGGGCTGATACACAGGCCCGGTCTACCTTGACGCGAAGGTGTACCAGACGCCAGGCGCGGGATGGAGCTCGTGGT